GATTGAGAAGATATATCAAACACTCAAGACAGTGTTTGACCACATTTCCAAACACCTCGAAGTTCGTCAAAAATACTCCGCTGTGCATCGTATTTTCAACTCTCTTCTCGGAGTTTGGAAATGTGGTCAAACACGTCAAAAGTAATCAAGCAATTACTTTGGTTTTGGGTTTTACTTTGTCAGTTTGAAGTTGGCTGAGTTGTCTAACTTGTAAGTAATTTTGATTTTATGACACTCAATTGAAAACCACTCTATATTCTAGATAACAACATTATGCTTTTCTATACAAGCAAAGAATATTGTTATCTAAATATACTTACAGAGTCTTCATAGCGTACATGTATATTGCAAACAGAGATCTGTAAAAAAAGAAAGGCAGCATGTAGTAGTGAACATGACTATAGTAGACAACATAACAATGAGAAGAAAGACCATATCCTAATCACTTTAAGTGTTATTTACAAAATATAAATAAACACACTTCTCACAAATGGCCAAAAGGAAAGGAAGAAAATATAATCACAATAAACAAGCTATATTGGCATATTAATCAGTGTCCATTTGTTCTTTTTCTTTTAACTTACCTGAAGGTTCTTGACAATCTGCATCGCCAACTTCTCTACAAAGCTGTCAGACTTTTCATCCTTTTGTGGTGCTATAAGTTAACATAAGAAAGCAGTCCACATTATTTTTTGTAATAAAACAAATCAGTCATTGAACAGAAGGCTGCTGCCTAACAGCCACCCGGATGCCTGAGGCGCCTAAGTTACAAGTGTGGGCGACTAAATTTTTTTTCAAGGAGCCCGAGTGGGTGCCTAAACATGGAGGTTTCATTTCCATCTAATCTGTCCGATGACTTCAATCCCTTGTAACCAGTAATTACAAGCAATTCCTGATGGTACCTTCGTTCCACCAGCCTAAACCTTCCAACCATCGCTGGTCATCATCATCGATCGTACAGTGTACATGGCTACCATTCATTCTGACCAGCCAGAATGTCTCTCAAAACCATTCAAAACATCAGTCTCACAATAAATTAAATTAAAACAACAGTAGCCCTGATCTTATTTTGATTTCGTCACGAGAAATATGGGCCAAACTATGACAACTAAGTCTCTCTCCACTCACAAATAGCCAAAGACAGTCATTTTTGAAAATTCCCCTATAATGCATTGTGAACTCAGTATTGAATACATGTACATCATGAATGCTATTGGACTGTGTCTCTGTTGATACCTTTTTGACAAAGAGGCAATATTCCAGTTGTAAAATAGAGCTTATGAGAACAAATATTTTTGGAAATGGAGTAATGATGCTGTTGGTATTATATTTCCAACTTCTCATTATGTAAATGCTTTTCAACAGAAAATATGAAATAACATGATCATTCAGTTTCTGTTAATTTTAGCGTGCCCCACCAAGGAAAACACATTTCAGTGACTCCCCAAGTGCCTCTTTCTTTTTCACTTGTTTCCATTTGCAGCTTGCATTTCATGATTTGTACAATGTATTTTGTTTTGCTCCCAGATAAATTATCCAGGAGTCTCCCAGATACTAGCCTCCTACACAGACATTCTTTTGGCTTGTCACACAATCTTCCTCCCCCAAGGAGGTGAGGAAGATTACATGACGAGCGCAAAGAGCATCTACTCAGGAGGCTACCCAGATACAGACCAAATCTCCCAGTCTCTGTACAGGTCATTTATTCTATTGAATTCAAAGGAAAGTGCTTATTTTGGCTTGTTTCAAGCCTGTTTCAGGGCAAAATAATGAAATATTTGGCATGTTTTTGTCGCTGAATAATTTGGAGGAACTCCACTTTTAACAACATTTTTTTAGGGTAGAGAAGGTAAAATTGGCGATCTCCCAGATTTAATTTATTTTTATTAGGTTGGCATCTCTGGAATGGCAAAACTCAAAAACTAAAGTAACACATAATTTTGTAAAAACAGCTGCAGTGCCAGACTCGTACCCAGTCACTATTTATTTGTTTTTTCGGAAGAGAAGATTGAATACTAGGGTGGATGCACAAGGTTTCATGGTAAGGGTTGAGGGAAAATAGCTATTTTTCCTTTGACCCTTCCCATGACACCTTGTGTGCCTTAATCCACCCCTAGTATCCAATCTTCTCTCCCTAAAAAACACATAAATAGCAACTGGTACAAGTCTGCTGTAGCTTTTGCATGTGTACACCAATTATTGAATGTTATTTTGTTCAAATTACAACATGAATATATTCTTCCTCAGTCATGACCTGACCAGTTCGCTGAACACTCAATTCCACAAATTTGATTGATATTAGTGTCTTGAGGAAACTCTTAGCAGAAAGAAGGGGAATGCCCCTGGGACCCCTCCCCAAAATTTCCCATGTTTCCCATTTTATATGGGAGTCACCGCCAGGATGTACACACAAATCATAAGCATAAACAAAGTAACTGAATTACATAAAAAAAACATACCATGTTTTTTCTTCTCCTCCTCCAGTTGCCTTGCTAACTCCACAGCATCCAACTGCCTCTGCTTCTTTTCCTGCTTGGCTTTCTCTTCTTTCTCTGCATTATACTTAACATCTGATGAAGAAACAAACAAAATCATAACTTTCCTGACATGGATTGCTTACAATTCCCCTCACATGTGTTTCAGTAACTATCCTACCCTAGTGCGTTGGAGAAAGTGTAGGGTTAGTAAGATACAAAGTGCATGCACTAACCATTAGATCACTACATCTCTTGCAGACTGAGCAATGGTAGTTAAGGTGAGTAAAGTCTACATATGAGCCAAGTGGCCAATCAGGCCAGAGCTCATCCCAGTTTCTGTAGCATGAAGCGACTAGGAGTATTCCTACTGCCCATGGGTGGGATGCTAGTCCATTGCAGGGTTACCCCCAGCAAAATTAAATTAGACTGAGCAATACTTACCAGTATTTGGTCTGACAAGCAAGTAAAGGCCATCTACTTCAGCAATAACTGGTTCTGAATACAAATTTTTCCAAGGTATCTTGAGCACCAGCTTGCCTGCGAAGACAATGAAAGTCATCATCATGACTCATTATTTCATTTACAATTTCCATAACAATAATAATTATTTGTTACAGCAAACTTAGAAGCCTCAGCACTTACTCACATTAAGAAATATGATTACTTCCCCTAGATGGGAAACTATATGTACACTGTAGTCCATTATTTCCCCAAAAGAAAACATGTTCTCCATGTTTATTTAAAGTGAGTTATACAAACACTTAAGAAAGTTTGAGAGAACTTGAAAATATTGTGGAAGCGCTCGCCCATCAGCCTGTGTTCCCACAGAATTTCTCGTTCTCCCAAACTTCCATTCATATTTCTATTACACAATTAGATTACAAGCTTGAGATTTCTATCACGTGATAGTTGAAGAGGGTGCAGCCCGAGTCAACTATCACACATAGAAATCGAGAGCGAATAATCTAATTGTTTTAGTATAAATCTACTAGTCGTTCAAAACTTTATCTAAATCTTCTTCACGGACACTTTGAAAATGCCAAGAAGTGGCCGTCATTTTGTTAACAAGGACACACTACTACACTACTCACTATCTATCACAGAATCGATAGTGAGTAGCATAGCCAATCAGAGAACGGCATTTGTGATGGAATGCTGGTAGATTTATACCAAAACTCAATAAATAATAGTAAATAGTGATAAAAATAACTTACCTAAATGACCACGCAATACCTTGACTGGTAAATCTAGATCATCCTGCAATCAGAACATGCATGTACCTATTACTATGGCATCTGATGTAACTAGGGTATGATGTCTTTATCACTCAGCTAAGATGTTTTTTTGGTTTCCTCCAAAATTAAAATGCACAGGACTATTCCTACTTCAAGCGACTTCATTTACTTCATTTCCATTTAACATCTGTTTGTTTTGCAATTTCCAAGGTAGCTAATGTTTCACCCATTGTAAAACATCATTGCCCATGCATGCATAGCGTGCCCTTTACTTTTAAAAAGTTTCTTCTGCTCTGTGCAGGGTCTTTCATCCAAAACAAGTGGTTTGTCATTTATGATTTCTTAGAGCTCAGCATCTTGTTAATTCTTCAGTTGGTTCAACACTTAAAAGGAGTCAGTCATCTGAAGTAGACATGAGAAACACACTGCAGGCAATTGGTCTTCCTGATAGGCACAGGAAGTATGTTGTTATGGTTAACAGTCTCCATACTGACTGAGACAAAATAATTATTTTTATTAAAACTTGGATCATTGGGTAATGCAATTTAAGAGTTTTCATCAGCTTAGCCATCTTATAATATATGAGCAATTATACCATGCTCTAAAAATATGGTAACTTGGTTTTCTATATTTTGGGGGTGTTTTGAATAAAACAATTATTTCACTCGCACTTGTTGGATACGAGATGATTGTAGCCAATTCAGCGTTATGTGCTTCGTTGGCTATCTATCATCTCATGTCCTATGCAGACTTGTAGAATAATTGGTAATAAAAAAAAGCAGAGCTCTTTGTTTCCATGGAGATCTTAATAGGTACTAGTAATATGAAAGCTAATAGCATGAGAGCACAGTTAAAAACACCTGTTTCAAATATTTGATGATTGCATGACACTTGTGGCAACTGGCCAGTTCAAAATGGGAGTATAACTGCTATTTTCACATAGAGGGAAAACCTGTTTACAACCACTTCATTTATATACTAAACATATTTCTAACGCAAGTTTTGTTGCATCAGAACAACCGCTAATTATATTCCAATTAATCCAGCTATGTTTCTGTGCCAATTTATAAATAACTTGCATTTTAGTTCACAATATTTTCTTGGACTCGTTTTGTAAAATTGTAACGCCAGACAACCCTGAAGGTGTTACAATATGGACACAATAGATTGTTTATTGACATTGATATGATTCACGTGACATTTGATCATAGTATGATTGGCATCACTTATATATTCAATACTCTCGATAGCTCGCTGAACGTGTAAGATCACGAAAGTAAGAGACCTGATTAAAAAGCACTTT